GCTCAACTTTCCCATTTTGCAGATGAGGAAACTAAGGCATAGAAAGGTTAAATCCCAGAGTCACACAACTAGTAAGTATTGGAGGTGGAATTTAAACCTGGTTCTTCCTGACTCTGAGGGCAATACCCTATTTATAAAGAAAGATACCTTCCTCTTCTTGGCAGAGAAGATGGAAACTATGGTGACAGAATGTTGTATACATTTTCAGATGTGGTAACTATATCCACTTACTTAACTAAGATCCTAAAGTTGGGGCCAGAAGAGATCTTAGAGGTCATCTAATCCAAAGGCTTCAGTTTCCTGGGAAGTGGTATGGAGGCCTATTCCCAACAAGATAAGTCACAAGCTCACCCATCAAGCCTGAAGACCAAAGGAAGAAATCTGAGCTTCCAATGGAAGGAAGATGAGGGGGATACATGGCCATAAATAACACCGCATGATGATATGGCAGGCGGAAAGTGATAGATTGATGCTAGCTATTAATTATGTGTTATGTGAAAGGCCCAGTGCTGGAGTCTACAAAATATTGAGAATATTACATTCAATAAATTCAAATTTGACACTTTTAATAAGCACCTACTGGGGGAAGACACTGTTCTGGGTGAGGGGAATAGAAAGATGAAAAACCTTGGTGCCCCAAAGAAAGTGCTCTGTGATAAATGGAGAGAGGTCTGGAGAAGATTGACTTTGGTGATAATCATGGAATGGGGTCTGGACCAGCCTCTCCAAGTTGGTGATGAGCTCAGTGGAAGGCATACGCCCGCATTACTGATAATCAAGAGACCTAGGAGTAAACCCTGGTTCTTTCACTCAGCTGTTTAACACTTTGAGCAAATCTCATTCTTGGTCTTATCTTCCCAATCTGTAAAATGAGAACTGATGATGATGATGATGGCTATAGGGCTGGATTGAGCAAGAACTGAGCAAGATGTGATTCAGGTCCAAAGATATCTCTGATAACAAACCTGGTGGATTAAAGGAAGCTATAAGTATAGCATTGCCACCACCACCACATGGCATCTCATTCCCCGCCTCTCTGCCCCAAGCCCTATTTGACAGGAAAAATGCCAGTGTTTCAGTAGTGGTTATCAGACACTGAGGAACAACGTTATGGCTCCAGTAATGGAAGGGTTGCTTTGCAATGGAGCAGCAAGTGGTCTTGGAAGAAAGCCATATAGCAATTACAAGGACATAAGGGGAGGATGGGCTCCAGAGGAAGTGGGACTGACCATAGCATGACCTGAGGTGTGTTAACTGTGTGCTAAGTAGAGTTGTTCCTATTCTGTGACTGGAATCTGAAGCCAGAGTCTCTTTGAGATTGACCAGAGTAGGTAGGTGGATAACAAGAATTTTTTTAAGTGCTTACGATGTGACAGATGCTGTGCTTATTTGATCCTCACAACAACCCTGGGAGGTAGGTGCTATTATTGTCCCTATTTTAGAGTAGAGGAAACTGAAGTAGACAGAAGTTAAGTGACTCATCCACAGTCACACAGCTACTAAGTGTTTGATGCTGGATTTAAACTCATGTTTTCCTGACTCTAAATTAACTGTACCACATAAAATAGTGGGATGGAAAAGGTCAGGCTGGTATGATGCCTACAGGCCTTGTAGGGAAGGGGTGTAAGAGAGGAATTACTAGCTCTGAGAGGACTTCTGTTTTAGCCTTGGCATTTACTGCTTTTGTGGGCTACTGAGCATAGCATGACTCTTCTCCACAGTCCTGCCTCTGGGTGCCATGGGGTTGCTGGTGGCCAAGAAGGTCCTGAACTCACTCCCCAAGTCTGCACATCTGTTTCCTCTTCACTGGCTATGGTGGTAGGCTTACTGTTAGTCAGGTGCAATCGCTATAACATAATAGAGTTGGATCAGACAGTGTCAAAGATCCCTCTGGTCTTGTGCCATTCCAGACAATCCCAGTAGATTGTGAGTTTCTTGAGGGCAGGGACTGTCTTTTGCCTCTTTTTGTGTCCCTAGAACTTAGCACTATGCCTGGCGCATAGTAGACACTTAATATTTGTTGACTGACTGAGAAGTCGTATTCTACTCTGTGTTCTAAGGTGCTAAACAGTTCTGACAGTTTATGTTCTCTCTTCTAAGGCATGTTGAGCTCTTGCATCCTATGTTCTAAGGTCCCTTCTAGCTCTGGCATTCTCTGTTTTTTGTTTCAAGCTCTCTTCTAGTTCTGACTGTATAATCTATGTCCCAAGATCCATTCTAGCTATGACATCCTGTGTACTGAGGTCCATTCCAGCTATGATCTTCTATGTTCTGTGTTCTAAGCTTCCTTCCAGATATCACACTCTAGGTTCTATGTACTAGAGAATATCCCAGCTCTGACATTTTATGTGGAAGGTTGTGCAGGCCACATAGACCCTCTCCAGTGGCTCCTGCGCCTAGTACCTTGTGGGCCCAAACCTTGGGCCTTGATTTCCTTAGTAACCTCAGAGGCTCAGCTCCTTGGCACCATTGTTTTAAAGCTCAAAGCAATGACAATTATTTTCATAATTAACTAGCTCTTCAAATTAATACCAATTACACTATGCAATCATGATTAAGACTATGCATTAATCAACTCTGCCAACCTACTTATTAGCCTCTTTAAATAATGATCATGGAGAATGTATGGGAAGGAAGGAAAGAAACCAGGAGAAGCCAATATCAGTGGCTTGTTCTCTCAAGACATACCTGGAAAAGAATTCTCACTCAGAGCAGCTACTGCCTTTCTGCGCATGAACAGAACTATGATGGGGTTCTCCCCATGTAGAAAATCCCATCTTTCATTAAGGTTCCCTGTTAGCAGTATGGTGTTTTAGTGGGGGAAATCAAACATGGGTTGAGAAGGCAGGAAATCTTGGGTTCCAGTCCCTGCTATGCCAATGGAGGGCTATGTGACCTTGGGCAGATTCCTTCTCATCTCTGGGCCTCAGTTTCCCCAAAAGCACAATGAAGGAGTTGGACTAAATCTCTAAGATCCCTTTGAACTCAGACAAATTGTAGCTCTTGCCAGGTCATCATCCTCTCAAATATTTTTGACCCCCGTATGTTTTCATGCCATGAAGGACTTTTTAGATCTATCTACTTCTGTTCATGGCCTTGGGACCAGGGTTAGTTTTGATTACACTAATGGAGGTGAACAGAAGCATAGAAAATAAAAAATGACAGCTCACTCAAGAGTCATTTCCTCTTGCCTTTAGAGAATGTTTGGGGGCTTATGTTTGAGTATGGGTCTGATGGATATTCCAGGAACTCATATCAAAGACAAGAAAGAAGCTTGGATGACTCAGGAGATGCTGGAACCCAGCCCCCAGCTATTTCTTTGGGTTGGGGTGGGACTCTATTCTTCCTTGTCCCTCAGCAGCAACTTAAGCAGAGATGCCTTTCCCTCCACCATCTCTCAGCTAGTATGTCTTATTATTATCAACAACAAGCATTTATTAAGTTGTTAAGTGTTCCACTCTCAAAAAGCTTCCCTGCTGTATGTAAAGTGAGATCAATTAGAGATTATGAGATGTCAACACACAGAGAGATGTTAAGGGAGTGAGTAATTCAGCAGAGTGGATGAGGGTCATCACCAGAGGGAGGGGGATACCAACAGAGCAAGCCATTCAGAAAAGGGGGTGCTATTAATTAATAGAAAGCACTAATCAATACAACAAATAACCCAGCAGCAAAAGTGATTGCTAGTGGTCGACCGACAGAGGTTTCAACACAGCAAACAATTCTAGAAGAAACTATGCCACAGTGGGTCCCCAGCTGACAATAAACTTGAAAAGCTTCTCTGCCAAGGAAAGTTGCTGGTGTAGACAGGGGATTGTATCAGGCTCCAATGAGGGTTTGACCCCTTGGCAGAGCCACAACTTCACATGGGTAATATCCTGGGGTGGGGGGTTCTCTGTGATTGCTTGTTCAGAGGAGGGGCTGGTCTCTGGGGAAGCCATCCTTCCTCTTAATGATTCCTCTCACCTCCTCTGATTAGAATGTGAATGTTTCCAGAGGATAGAACCTTGATGGGAGCTGGGGTCCTGGGGATCATTCCCTCTTCAGCCTCACTCCCAACCCAAGGATAGATTCCTCCTAACTGAGGACTCCAGCTGCAGACATTGTATATATATTCTTGGATTGCGAGTCACAAAAGCTGCTTCCCACACTTAGTCCCTGTGATTCTGGTCAAATCACCTACCTTCTATGATTCAGTTTCTTTATTTTTAAAATTACTGCTTACCTTATCATGTGGTCATATGGGTGAAATGAGATATGATATATGCAGGTGGAGCAGAGGGTAAGACGGATGGATTTGAAAATCAGGAAGACCCAAGTTCAAATCCAGCCTCAGCTATTTATTAGCTGTGTGACCCCAGGCAAACCTTTAATTTCTTGCTGCCTCAGTTTCTTCATCTGCAAAATGAGAAGAATAATAATACTTACATTACAAGACTGTTGTGAATATAAAGTGAGATAACGTTTGTGAAATGCTTCATACACCTTAAAGTACTATCTAAATACTAGCTGTTATCACTATTACAAACCTTAAAACTTACCAGCTAGCTATTATAGATGGGTTAAGGGGAAAAGGAAAGGGATTAGACTTGCTGCCAAAGAACTGAAGCTGCTCTTCATAGGAACCCTCTCTCCCCAACCACCTACAGCCTTTTCTTTACCCAGAGACTCACCTCACTGGTCTGGTCCTCAGTTCCGTTACTTATATAATAATCCTATTCTGTTTCCACAGCTGTGGGTACCCCCTCTCTGGGGAAGGTTGGCTCCCAATCCATTCCAGTCCAACCAGCATTTATTAAATACCTAGCCTAGGATCCAGAGATACTAAAACAAAAGGAAAATGGCCCTGCCCTAAATGTTGCAGTGGATAGATTGGTGGGCCTGGAGTCAAGAAGACCTTCTCCCTCCCTGATCTCTGAGTGCTGTGGGTTTGACTTTTGCCTAGGGAAGACAGAGGAGAGTTTCTCAGTTTAGCTAACTCCAAGGCCTCTTTATTGCAGGAGGAATCTTTGAGTATGCAGATGGACCCAATGCCCAGGTCATGAATGCAGAGGAACAAGCCTTCCGATTTTCTGCCAACATCATCAACAGAAATAGGACTTTGCTGCCCAATACCACCTTGACCTATGATATTCAGAGGATACATTTTCATGACAGCTTTGAAGCCACTAAGAAAGGTAAGTTTGCAATCTTTAACCAATCTCTTCCTGGGAGGAAGGATTTCCTCTAGCCCTAATTGCCTAAAGGCTTTAGAACCATGGCCAAAAATATGGGAATAGGAGTTGGAGATCCTTGGTGTTCCCATAAGAATTAGGAAGCTTACTTAGAGCTCTGTTAGGGGAAACAATTGGAAGAGAGGGAAAAAGAAAGAAGGGAGAAGAAGATTGAGGTCAAAGAAGAGAGGGGAGGGGGTTAAGAGGGAAGGAGAAGAAAAAAAGAGAGATAAGTGAAGAAAAAGAAAGTAGAAGAGGAGATAATCCTTCTTGGGAAGAAGAATTTCCTCTAGCCTCAACTGCCTAAATGCCTTAAAAAACCATAGCTAAGAATATGGCATTAGAGGTATTTATTTCTAGTTCTGTTAGGGGTAGCAATTGAGAGAAGGGGAAACAGAAAGATGGGAGAGGAAGAGAGAGGGAAAAGAAGAGAGGGAAAGGGAAATAAAAGAGGGAGAATAAAAAAGAGAGATAAGTGAAGAAGAGGAAGAAAGTAGGTGAAGGGGAAATAAGAGGGGAAAGAGATGATAGAAAGAGAAAAATGAAAGGTAAAAGGGAGAGAAGAAAGGAGAAGGAAAGAGAGGTGAAGAGGAGGATAAAAAGGAAGAGCAAGGGAAAAGCAGAAGATAAAGTGGGAAAAGAAAGGGAAAAGAAGAGGAGGAAGGAAGATATATGAGGAAAACTTACAAGAGGGGGAGAGAAATGACAAAGGAGAAAATGGCAAGAGAGGGAAAGGAAGAGAGGGAAAAGAAGGGGAAAGGAAGAGAGAAGAAGAAAGAGGGAGAAAAGAAAGTGGTAGAAACTATTGGGGGTAGCAAGTCAGAGAGACAGAAAGACAGGAGAGGAAAAGAAAGGGACTAGTGAAAGGAACAAAGCATGAGAATGGGGAAAGGAATATAGATGGAGAGAGGGGCAAGATGGTAAAAGGAAGAAAGTGAAGAGAAAAATGTAAGAAGGAGAGAAGAGTAAAGAAGGATAAGAGGAAGCTGGATGACCAGACTGAAGGAATAGTCATTAAGAAATACATATTAGCTTGTGAGAGGTGTCTAATGCAGTGCTCCAGAAATCCATTGTTGGTCCATTTAGTCAACTAGCATTTATTAAGCACCTTCAATGTGCTAGGAATTGTGCTATATCTGTTAGACATTTTTGTTAATAATGTGGATGAATGTTACATTAACAAAATTTTGAAGATTATGCAAATCAGAAAATGATAGCTTAAAGTTAGAGGGATGTCAAGTGACAGAGTTAGGATCCAAAAGGATATTAACAAGGTGACATGTTGGACTGAATTGAATAATGTGAAATTTAGTAGAGATAAATATAAAGTTTTATGCTTAGGTTCAAAATATCAGCTTCACAAATCTAAGTTGAGGAAGGGGTGACTAGACAGCACTTCCCATGGAAAAAGTCTGATTAGATTTTTTTTTTATCATTACATCAAAGTCAACTAATATCCACCCTCTTTATGTATACTCCTTTAACAAGGTGTAATAACAATACAGTTCTCAAGGGTTGCAAGTCTCATATTCCCTTGTAGGGGTTTAGACAGCTGCGCTCCCCCCCCTTACAACATATTGTATCCTTCTTGAGTCCTGTACTTGAAGATCAAATTTTTTGTTGAGCTCTGGTCTTTTTATCAGGAAAGTTTGGAAGTCTCCTATTTTGTTGAATATCCACCTCCTCCCTTGAAAAATGATGCTCATTTTTGCTGGGTAATTGATCCTTGGCTGCATTCCAAGCTCCTTTGCCTTATGGAATATCATGTTCCATGCCCTGCGGTCTTTTAATGTAGAAGCTGCAAGGTCCTGTGTAATCCTGACTGTGGTTCCATGATATTTAAATTCTTTCTTTCTGGCTGCTTGCAGCACCTTCTCTTTCATCTAGTAATTTTGGAATTTTGCTATTATATTTTTTGGCGTTGTCAATTTGGGATCTCTTTCAGGTGGTGATCGGTGGATTCTTTCTATGGTTATTTTCCCTTCTGGTTCTAGGACTTCCGGGCAGTTTTCCTTTATGATTTCCTGAAAGATACTGTCCAGGCTCTTTTTTTCATCATGATTTTCAGGTAGTCCAATAATTTTTAAATTGTCTCTCCTGAGTCGATTTTCCAGGTCGGTTGTTTTACTGATGAGGTATTTTACATTTTCATCTATTTTTTCATTTTTTTTTTCTGTTTGACTGATTCTTGCTCTCTCATAGAGACATTAGTTTCCATTTGTCCAATTCTAGTTTTTAACAGATTGTTTTCTTCTGTTAGTTTTTGTACTTCCTTCTTCAACTGGCCAATTGTGTTTTTTAGGGACTTGTTTCTTCAGTATACTCTTCTGTTAGTTTTGTCTTCCTTCTTCAACTGGCCAATTGTGTTTTTTAGGGACTTGTTTTCTTCAGTGTATTTTTTTTCCAACTGGCCAATTGTGTTTTTGAAGGACTCTTACCTCTCTCATTTGACTATTAAAATCCTTCTTGAGCTCTTCTAAGAAGGCTTTTTGGGCTTCAGACCAGTTCATATTCCTTTTGTTGTTGCAGATGTGGGTTTGTTGACAATGTTGTCCTCTTCAGAATTTCTGTCTTGATCTTCACTCTTCTCATATGAATCTATGGTACATTTCTTTTTACTCATGGTGTTTCTTTATTCCCTGGCCTTTAAAGAGATTGAGCTCTCCTGCTGGGGAACAGAGGGTACTGACCCAAGCTTCTTGTGTTGGGAGCCTAGGTCTTGGTCACTGGCTTTGCGTGCTGGGGCCTCTTATGCTGGGAATTGGAGGCTGTAGGTTTCTGGCAGCTTACCTTGTGTTGGGCTGGAATCAGCAAGGCTGGAACTTTCAGGCAATTCTAGGTTGCCTGCTTTTCCTTTCCTTTAGCTTTCTTCTGCTCCTTTTAGATGGGTGCTGCAGGATGTTTATCTGCCTGGGGCCCCTTGCAGTGTTGTCTCCCTCGTTTCAGCTAATGCACCAGGAGATTCCTTTGCTGTGGAGTGCCGAGGCTCCTGGTGGTTTTCTGATCTGGTTTCCTCCAGTTCCCCTGCCCTCACTGAGGCACTCAGAGGTCCAGGTGTTGGTGTTTGCCTGCTCTACCACCTGGGCTTCAGGATTTCTTCACAATTGGAGGCTTCAGGGCTCCTACAGCTCACCTGGTGTTGGGTTGGAATCAGCAAGGCCAGGGCTTTAGGAAGCCTTTAGGTTGTTTTCTTCACCTCCTTTCAGATGAATGCCGCAGGGTACTTGGCCCCCTGGGGCCCCTTGTAGTTCTGCCTCCCTTATTTTTGCTGAGGCACTGGGAGACCCATTTGCTGGGCTGCTGCACTGCTGCTCCTCATCTTTCTTCTAGTTCAAGTGTTCCAGGGTTTTTTTTTTGGGTGATATTTTCTGGGTTTTCAGAGGTTGATAGGGGAGAGTGAGAGCGACTACCTTTTCACTCCGCCATCTTGGCTCCCGCCCCATGAAAAAAGTCTGGAGGTTTTAGAGAACTGCAAGTTCAATATGAGTAAACTATGGGACATGTTAACCAAAAAAGTTTATGAGATCTTAGACTATGTCGAGAGGTACCGAAACAGCAATTCTTCAGAACAAACCTCTAGAGACCATGTTTTCTTTCTGGGGAAGCTAATACACTCAGTTTTGAATTCTCTTCTGGGGCTGGGTAATATGTGCTCACTGTGGGGTGAGTGAGTGCAAAGTCACCTATCTATATCTGGTTGGTCTCAGACAATGCTTCGCCTACCATCTACCCAACCACCTGGAAACCATGGTCTGCCCAGCATGAAGACCTTGCCATTTTCCCTGCTGTACTCTACACTTAATTAGTGACAGTGCTGTTTTTTCCTCCATAGTCTGTGAGATCTGTGAGGGGAGGAGCTGTGTTTTCACTTTTCTTTGTATACCCAGCATATAACACACAGTAAGCACCTAATCAATGCATGTTGATTGACTGACATCTCCTACCTCCCTTCCCACCTCTTGCTCTGGGAAGAGTAATCAAATCAGTGCTATTGTGGCTAGTAGGAAAAGTGTGACAACTGACTGATCTTTTACTCTACTCACCATCCCAGTGACTCCCCATACTCTGAAACTCTCTTTGCTATCTACAACCCCCCCTCTATGTCTTATCTAGCCCTACTAGAATGTAATTCCCCCGAAGACAGGAACTGTTTCACTACAGTGTCTAGCATCATCTGGTACATAGTAGGTGCTTAATAAATGTTTTTTCATTCATTAATCACCAACAAAACAGAAGAGTTTATAGTCTCACCTTACTCTGTCTGGGTCAGACTATAACTGGGCTATTATCTTTAGTTTGGGGCACCTAATTTTAGAATACCATTGATAAGCTATGAAGTGCCTAGCAGAAGGGGATCAGAACAGTAGGAGGTCTCAAGATCATGTGAGTATTAATTGAAGGAACTGGAAAGGAGCAGTGTTTAGCCTGGAGAGAAAAGCTAGAAGACATGATAACAGTCTATCACATCTATCATGTATTTGAAGGAGTGACATATGGAAAAGGGACTAAACTTGGCTCAGAACTAGTAATGATGGATAGAAATTGCAGAAGGGCAGACTTCTTAACCACTATAGCTATCTAAAAGTGGAAAGAGTTGGTGGTGGTTCCCTTTCCTTGGAGGTTTTCAAGTAAAAACAGGATAATCACAATGGAGAATATTTTATATTATTTTCATATTTCTTTGTTTTATTTTATTTTTCTCAATCACATTACAAAAATGTTTAACATTTGTTTTTTTAAAAATTTTGAGTTCCAAATTCTCTTCTTCTCTTCCCTTCTCACCTTGAGAAAGCAGTTTGACATAGATCATACATGTGAAGTCATGCAAAACATTTCCATATTATCCATGTAGCAAAGGAAAACATAGATTAAAAAAAACAAGAAAAATAAAGAAAGTAAAATAAGTATGTTTCAATATGAATTCAGACTCCAAATATTCTTTCTTTGGAGGTGGATAGGACTTT